GGGCGGCGGGGATGATGCGGCCAGGTGCGCGCGCGCCGGCGTGCGCCCTCCGCCCGACCTGAGCTGCGCACTACGGCCTGGGCTGCTGGCTGCTGCCACCTCGTTAGTACTCTGATTTTACCAAGACACCTCGTTGGAAATTTACAACGTTTTCCGTAAATTTGTCGAAAACCCCCCGAATATTTCCGGAAAATAACGAAAAACTTTCCAAAGGCTAGGAAATTTCTGATTTTTTCCCGGAAATTTTCCGGATTTTTTTAAAATCTTCCCAGGACTTTCAACCCTACCTTAAATTTGTGCGTTGGCCACAACCCGTTATTTCCACAATTTTCCTGTTCTTTCCAGAACAGCATCCTGATAGCCTCTCCGAGACTCGAGTCTGAGGGATCTCTCCCAGGCATTCACCTGACTGGGACTGCAACCGACTGACGAGCTACTCGCCCTCAGCCGCGGAGCCGGGTAAGCGGACAGCCCATATACTCTCTCCTTTCTTTCTTACCCCCTTCTCCGTCCCTCCGTCCCTCCCTCGGTCCCTCCCTCGGTCCCTCCCTCCGTCCCTCCGTCCCTCCCTCCTTCTCTCCCTGCGGCAGTGCCCTATGAGTGCGACAAGGACAGAGGTAGGCGATCTTACCCGAATCAGCGGACCGGCGGAGGCGCGCCGGGTGTCTAATGAGAAAGAGCGGACGGTTGTGAATTGGGAATGAGGGAGGGGGCGCTGTAGATGTTTATTGAAATAGTGGAACTCTGCGCCCTCCTGCGTGTCCTCGTCATTTTGTTGGTATTGAAATCGTAACCGCCGCGGGGTCGGTTGGCTAAAAGCGCGGTAGGCCTGGGACCACCGTAACAGTGAAGGAGGCTGGGATAGCAGCGCGCTTCTCGTGGGTTATTAAATTCAATTCAAACCGGCAGGACGCTTCTTTTTTAATTTTTGTTTTAATAAATCGATGGGAGGAGGAAGAAGAAAATAAAATACAAAATTCGTTGTTGTGTCTGGGAATGCTTTCCAGCCAGCAGCATGCGGCCGGGCGCGCTCGCGATCGCATACCTGGCATCGGCAAACACACCCCCTTCTATTCTCTCTCTCTCTCTCTCTCTCTCTCTCTCTCTCTCTCTCTCTCTCTCTCTCTCTCTCTCTCTCAAGCAGCACTGCATGCTCGCTGCTTTGACAGCTCATTGTTACAAACAACAACACTTCTCAACCCCTTTTTGACCCATTTTGTACAAAATCCCCACAATAAATATTTTGCTAAACTAAACTCTCTGGCCTGACGCCGCCTGCGGCCCGTCGGTTAGGCCACCCGGCCACCTCGGCCGTCCTCCCTCGCCAGACTTTGCCTAACCGACGGGCGTCAGCAGCTCCTCTGCCTGCCCCCCGGGAATATCATGAATACAATTACACATTCTTAAGTCAATCTCTTTTCTAATCAACTTGTTGATCTCACGCGTGTCACCTTTTCTTCAAAAATTCTTGGAAATTTCAAAGAAAAAAAAATAACTCTCCTATTTTTCGCCGAGATGAAGGCTTTTGCCATCATCATCTTGGAACCCTAAAGACGCGAAAATCGAGATGATTTACAAAATCTTTCCCGCCCTAATAAATCTTGTCCGCAAAGACTAAAACTGAAATCCCCCCCTGCTCCTCTCCATGTTCCCTTTTCGTCCGCTTGATGCTGATTTACGGTTCTACGTGAGAGGACGTGATACTACTACGTCCCATTATCAGCCTTCCGCTATTGAGTGAGTTGGCGAGGGAAAAGGGAGGTGATGGGGTGACGGGGGGTGGTGACTTCAGCCGAGGATCAAGTCCTCTCGCTCTGCCCTTTATGAGGAGGATGCTTGTCTGGGTGAAGAGAGGCGAGGGGTCGAGACGCTACGGTCGCGCGGAGGGTCGTCGCCACGTCTGCTGCGACACGGAGGCCGCCGATACGTATTGCACAACCCTTTCCACTTCATTTTTAATAACACACCCCTTTTCTTTTTTGTATTTGTTTTATTCTTCGAGAAATTCTTGGCGCGCCGTGCATTCGGTTTTATTATCACCAAAGTTATGCGACCGGGACGCGCGGCGGCGGGGCGCGGGATAGTCCCTATATTTACCCCTTTCACCGATCCCCGCCAGACACGCCGCCAGACGTAAAGGCAGAGCTAACAACAACAACAACAACCCGCCGGGCCCTTGTCTGTTGCATAAGCCAAAGCCTTTTATTAGTTTTAGCGAAGAGCGGCGGGGTTTACATGAAAACAATGTGAATGCACTCCCTACTGTCACGTGTCCGGCACAGCATAGTGTCTACTCCACACTGCACGCCCCCCCCCCCACCTGTTAATACATGCGACTAGTGCAGGCAGCGTCCGTTGCAACGATCTATTTCTCTCCTCTCTCTCTCTCTCTCTC